CCTTGTGAACCGTGAAATAAAACGTCATTTGGAGTCGAATTAAATCACTTCACTGACAAACCTATAATGGAGGCATTGGACGCGATTTATTTCAACTCATTACACACTTAATATAATTTTGTTCTACGGGATTTTCCTAAACATGCTCCTAATAATCCGATTTTGCACATAAGCAATCACATAAGAAATTGCATGATTAATAAGCAATAATAAACTAAGAATTATATTCCAACTATTACAGCCATTAATCAATCTCCAATGTTACGGAGAAAACACAATCTTGTCCTTGTTGAGTGTGTCCTCCGATTCAGGTATTGGATCTTCCCTTTCGCAGTGACTCCCACTGAATTGGTCATCTCCGGGAAAGTCGCCATTTGATCATCACCATGGCATCCGTGTACATGTTTATCGCCTCGCCCCGTCAAGGTTGGTCCATACCCGCCGGATCAATAATGAATAATATAAACAACAATTACACAATTCATCCTATGACCCACGAAGGAGCCATACATGAGTCTCGATGAAAGCAATAAACTATGCGGTGTCCCACCGCGCGAATAAATTTTTACAAGCATTCACCAACCCAAAAATTCCTCGACATGTCCGAAGCTTATAAAACAGCATACATTCAACATGAATTAAAATCCATACATACGGGCCACAATAGTCGGATTCAAAATCACCTGCAAAAACTTATTGCAATTCTTAATCTACTATGCCGCTGCGTCCGTATGCACATAATTCATGTAAACAGGCAAAGTCCAAATTCAAACTATGCACGAGGTTGAATTAAACCTGGGCTCTGATACTAGTTGTTGGGTTCTATGGGGAACGTCAAACAACATGCACAGTATTGAACTTATTGAAATAAATCCTAACGCAATGGAATGTATAGTTAGGATATGGACGTTTACCTTTTAAAATTTTTGTCTACTCAGAGACGATGTTGAAAAATTTTGATATAGTTCGTCTGAACACCACTATCTAATGGGCAGATAGATTTGACCTTTAATTGATTCTAATCGATAGGTCACACGAAGCTCAGATGCACGGTAGTCCGGTCTCTGCGTCGGTGTGGCCGACAGGTCGCG